GTACACAAGAATATTTCTATATGAATAAATTGTCGATAACGCGTTCTAATCCTACAATTCGCCAACACTAAGAAGATAAGACAGATGAGACAAAATGGTCTTCAGTAGTTGACTGTCACCAAAAACGTAAGGTAGCGTATCCAAAGAATTTGATGAATTTTGACCACTGTTGACATCTTAGGAAAACTCATAAGGTAAAGAATTTTTTTACGTTAGGTAGACCTGGTACCACCTCTTTTGTAACATACACTACAGGCTTCTGCGCAATGTCGCTCTTGAAGTCATGGAAATTTTCAAACACAAACAGCTTATGACGAGCCGGGGATCCAACCCGCACCCTCTTGCACGAAGAATTCAATTGATAACTCTCCAAATGTTATTAAGGCGACTTTCTCAATTACGGGAAAGATTGATTTACCCTTTAAAAAAAGGTAATACTAGTCACAATCTGTTTAGACACGCTGGTGAATGAGCCAATTTGGGTCGGTTTTAATGGGGTGCTATTATTTAATGTTGAAAATTGTTATCTGTTTTACTTTATAACTCGAAGTCCGAAACGTAATCATGCAGAAGACTTATCATTTACGTGCTTCCGTGCTTTTTTGCACAACCATTTGCTATCTGTCCTTCAACATCCGGAGTTTTTTAGGCATTTTTTTTGCAGTTGGGCTGCTGAGAGTGAGAAAAGAGCATTAACTTTTTTCCGCGTGTAGATATGTAGATATTTCTTCTCTCCTACTAGTAATACTGTTCTTAAGGCGACTTCTAAGTCAGAATGGATCGGAATGATGAAAACTACAAAATGTAGACGTAAACAGTCAGGTTAGATTTGCTGAATTTAATTGGCTTATTTTTACTGAAGATTTATATATATTCCTGAAAACAGAATAAAACCATAGAGATCTTTGTTAAGAACGATGTCGTCTTCTTTTCTTGAATATCAACAAGAAAATGCAGAGATTTATTGCTTGACCTCGTTCTTCTAGAAATAGAGATTGTTGAAAGCTGCCAAAATTAATTTTATTTACACATACTTACAGACAATAATATATCAAACAATCACTGAGATTATCTACGTTTTTTTGGCTTTTAAGATTGTCCGTTTTTTGTAGCCACCACCACCGCTGCCAGCGGGGGCATAACCACCACCAGCGCTGCCAGCGGCGAAACCACCATTAGCGCTGCCAATGGGGGCAAAACCACCAACGCCGCTGCTGGGACCGATATAGTCAGTACCACCTGCTCCTGGAACTACTGCAGCTGTAGCAGACGGAGCGGGTTGAGCAAGTGGAGCACCATA